ATTTTTTTTTTTGGTTTTTCTCCGGTACCGGGAACCGAACTCACGACCTTGCGCTTGCCAGGCAGGCGCTTTTGCCGCTGAGCTAAATCCCCAGCCCCGAGACAAGGTCTCTCTGAGTTGCCCAGGCTGGCCTTGAACTTGCAATCCTCCTGCCTTAGCCTCTGGAGTAGCTCTAGTTACAAGCATGTACCAATGTGCCTAGCAAAGCACTGTTTCACATCAGAATATTTATGTTTATTATAAACCTGAGAGTGAACTCTCAAAAGAGCATACTCCAAACCAAGACAGCCTAAGTGTATACGATGGCAATTATTTTTTTGCTGTTTGTCAGGTGAAAGGTAAATACGGTGGAGGAAGAAAAGACATCCCCACTGCCCACATCTGGAGTCCGGGACAGAATAGGCCTGCCTCTTCATACATTACTGGGACAACACCACAAAAGCTCCTAGGAGCATGGCATGGTGGTTCATGCCAGTAATCCTGGCACTGGTTGGCTGAGGCAGGAGGATCACGAATTCTAGCCTAGCCTGGGCAAAATAGCTAAACAATATCTCAATAAAACAAAACAAAACACACAAAAAATTCAAAAAACAGAAAAATTTATGGCCCAGCAATCTAGATCATTGTGAAGACCTTAAATTCTTGAGTTTACTGTAAAATACATGGGCCTCTCGTGAAGGCACTGCAGGCTTAGAAAGCTGAAAACTCTGTTGCTTGCTTGGGAAAAAAAATGTCTTATACGGCAGAGCGGCAGAGCCGGTGGGAAGTGCGTGAGATGGCGCAAAATCTAAGGGGCAAAAAACAAAACCAAACACAAACAAAAAAACAGAACCCCAAAACGAAAAAAACAAACAAAAACAAAAAATATAAAGGGCTCTAAAAATCGCAGTGATATGGATAAACATTTTAATGCACCATTTAAAGTTACCAAAGTTAGTGTAATAACTCAGGATAAATAAATTACCAAAGTTTTAAGTATAGGCAAGATCTGCCCCTGCCGCCTTTTTCACCACAGTCGCTTCTTCCCCGGGGCCTCTGGAGCTACAAATCTTTCAGATCGCCCTCCCCCGCGCCCCCTCTGCAGGCGGGCCTCAGAGTCCGCTCCGCCTAGAGGGATTCTGTTCACTACGCGCGAGAGAGGGTTCCGAACGAACGAACGAACGATATCAAAGTCTCTTACAGAACCCCAGCCACCTCCAGATCAAGCTCCTTACCGAGCAAACACGTCGGGGTACTGAATGCGGTAGAAAAATGCCTCCAGCTCTTGCACTTGGTACTGCGTGTACACGGTGCGGCCGCGGCGCTGCCTCACCGGGGGCAGTAGCTCGGCCGCCGCCGCCGCGGGGGGTGGCTCCTCCTGCCCTCCCTGGGGCGCCTCGGGGCCGCCCTCTTTCGCAACATTTTCGCTGTACGAGCTGCTGAGCGCTCCTGTGACGGGGTTGCTCTCTGCTTCGGCTGCGTGCTCAGGTTCGGACGCTGTCTTTTCCTCGCCTTCTACTCTTGCTGCAAGCGCCGGGGCCACGGTGGGCTGCGCGTGCTCAGGGTCGGACGCTGTCTTTTCCTCGCCGTCTACTCCTGCTGCAAGCGCCGGGGCCACGGTGGGCTGCGCGTGCTCAGGGTCGGATGTCTTTTCCTCGCCGTCTACTCCTGCGGCAAGCGCACAGGCCACGGTGGGCTGCGCATCTGGGAAAGGAGGAAAGCAAAAAGGAAGACTAACGCCTGAAGCCCGCGCCACGTGGGTAAGAGGCAAGGGGTCACGAGGGAAGAGTAGAAGCAATGGTCGTGCTGCGTCCCGTCCCTGCGGCGCCCCGAACCCGCGGCCCTCCCCCCACTCCCGTTCCCGCGGCGCCAGGAACCCGCGGCGTCCCGACCTCACGGACCGCCCCTCCCCCTCCCCCTCCCCGCCGAGCTCCGTCTCCGTG